TAAACAAGAACATATAGGAATTCCGGCAAGGGAACAATAATTAAACAATTAAATACCGGCAAGGGAACAACAATTAAATAATTAAATCCCGGCAAGGGAACAACAATTAAATAATTAAATTCCGGCAAGGGAACATTTCAATAACTCTTTCTCTATCTTTCACTTAAACTTCATAACTCGCTTTACCACTCGAGCCAATGCTCCAAAGGGTTCAATCATCTCATATAATTTCACAATTCATAATATAACTTGAGCCAATGCTCCAAGATGTTCAAAGGTCTCAATTCCTTCCACAAACTTTCCACAACAACTATAAATCATCAGCAAAGCATGAAGAATACAATGAAATCAAGATATTCACAATATAAAGACTCACGGTCATGCTAGACACCAATGTATAGATACTCGTCACCATGTCTATACGTCGTACACGACTAATACCACATAGCAAATAGGACTCAACTCCTAATCCCTCAAGCTAAGGCTAGACCAAACACTTATCTCGATGCCTTGAACACAACTCAAGTCTCAATTATAGCTTTACCCCTTGATTCCACCGCCAATTCGCTCGTATCTAATCACAAATTACTTAATTACATCAATAAGTGCTAAATGAATCAACCCCAATGCATGAAAATGAGTTTTCCAAAGTTTTACCCAAAAAGTCAAAAATTGCCCCCGGGCCCACGTGGTCAAAACCTGAGGTTCGAACCAAGACCCGATTACCCATTCCCCCACGAACTCAAATATATAATTTGTTTTGAAATCGGACCTCAAATTGAGGTCCAAATCCCCAATTTTTGAAAATCCTAGGTTCTACCCAAAACACCCAATTTTCCCCATGAAAATCTTTGATTTTAGGTTGAAATCATGTTAAAAGATGTTAATGATTGAAAGAAATGAGTAAAAACTAACTTACAATCGATTTGGAAGAAGACTTGTTCTTGGAAAATCGCCCAAAGGAGTTGTATTTTGAAAAAGATGTGAAAAATGACTTAAAATCGGCTAAGTATAGAAAAATGCAGGTCTCAGTTGTGGGAAATGCGAACAGAGGTTCGCAATTACGAACCCCGACCTGCGGATGTGGGAATTGCGAGATAGTGTTCTCATTTGCGAACACTTTAACAAAAAATCCCGGGCTTCGTGTTTGCGATCCATAGTGTCGGCCCTTATTCGCATTTGCAGACCACTTGGTTGCATTTGCGATCAAGCTGCACAGTCCCCCTTCTCGCATTTGCGATGCAAGGCTCGCATTTGCAGCTGCGAGACCTGCTTCGCAAATGCAAAGCCTGCAGATCAGAAATACCAGATTTTTTTCAAGTTCAAAAATGCACCCGTGGCCTATCCAAAACTCACCCGAGCCCTCGGGGCTCCAAACCAAATATACACACATCCTCAAAAATATCCTATGGACTTGTTCGTGCGATCAAATCGCCAAAATAACATCATAAACATCGAATTAGACCTCAAAATCCATGAATTCTTTCAAACTTGATAAAACATTAAATTTTCCCCAATTAGGTCCGAATCACGTCAAACGACGTCGTTTTTCACCAAATTTCACAGAAACGTCTTAAATCTTACATAAGACCTGTACCGGGCGCCGGAACCAAAATACGGGCCCGATACCATCAGGTTCTAATCAAGTTTCATTTCAAAACCTTATAAACAATTTCAGAAAACAATTTATTTCAAAAATTCATTTCTCGGGCTTGGGACCTCGGAATTCGATTCCGGGCATACGCCCAAGTCCCATATTTTCCTACGGACCCTCCGGGATCGTCAAATCACGGGTCCCGGTCCGTTTACCCAAAACGTTGACCAAGGTCAAATTAGTTCATTTTATAGTCAAAACTTATCATTTTTCACACAGTTTCTCATTTAAGCTTTCCGGCTATGCGCCCGGACTGCGCACGCAAATTGAGGTGACTCTAAATGAGGTTTTCAAGGCCTCGGAGTCATAGAATTTAATTTAAAACAAGTGATGACCGTTTGGGTCATCACAACAAGTTTTTGGACCTGCAGTTCAAATCACTTGAAAGTATAAAGTCAATGGTATGTGCAATCAGTTTTCGATATCTTATATGTCTAGCATGACATGAAAACTTGATATGCATCTAAAGTCTATTATATGGCTTATATGACTTAACAATCCCTGAAGGATTTAAATTGCTTAAAGCATATAGAATATATGGTCATGAAGTACTACATCCTCAGTGCAATTTGTCCACAAATGTATCTTGCTATAACTATATGCATGATAATATGATAGCAAGAGTTTTCACCTCTATGTGAAGATATTGAACTGACGATTCCAACAAGATCATATGAAAATAATTCATCTGTATCAAGAATGATGATTTCAAGGTGTAATATATTCATTCAAGTTAATATGGCTGATTTGTTCATCAAATCTCCACCAAAGATCTTTTGAGGATGGTGCGCAAGATTGGAATGCAAATGCTTAAGGATGTGAGTTGATGCTCTCATCAGGGGGAGTTAATACGCGTTGTACTCTTTTTCCCTTACAAGGTTTTGTCCCACTGGGTTTTCCTTGCAAGGTTTTTAACGAGGCAACCAAAAGGCGTATTGTTAGATATGTGTACTCTTTTTCCTTCTTTAGAATTTTTTTCCCACTGTGTTTTATTTTAATTAAGGTTTTAACGAGGCACATTATCTGTTGAATAGACATTCAAGGGGGAGTGTTATAAATAGAATTGTATTTATGGTGAATGTCTATATGTAGAGAGATTCTAGGGTTCATTGCTTGGTGGCTAAGTCACTTTTTCCTATAAATAGAGGTTTCTATTCCATTGTAATTCATCCAATATCAATAAGAATTCTCTCTATACTTTTCTCTGCAATACTCTTCTTTCTTCATTTATTGTTTTATAACAATACAATGATTTTAAAAATTAAACAAATATATATTCGAGAAGAGAATAGTGTCTCAAAAAATTATTCTTATATTAATATTTAATTGGGTAAACTAAAATAGAATAATAATAGATAGCATGAAAGATGTGATATACCAATATTTAATGCATGAGCCGTGACCAAGCACTTGTCGAGAAGCTTCTTCATAAAAATGGTGTCCAACTTGACAAGCTACACGTGGCGGCCTATCCCACGTAAAATTTAGAATCCACCAATAATTTTACTACTATGTTTTATGGTGTTTGGTCAAATAAATATTTTTTGCTAATTACATCTGTCACAAGTCTTAAGCCATGACACATGACTGATGTCGTCTGCATTGAGATTACAAATATAAATATTTAAATGGACTAAGAAGAGATTAGTCAGAAAGAATATATGCCAATTGCTCGATCTGTTTTGCATTATTTTCACTTTTTCAAACCTTTATTCCCTGTATTTATTCCTCCTATTGTACTCAGTATTATATTTCCCATTTCATTCATACTCTTTTGAGTTTTTTTTCTTTTAACACTGTTAACAAGGAAAAGGTAAATCGATTTTTTGCTATATTGATTTTAATTAAAAAAAAGGTCATAACATGCAAAGATTTTACAAAACGGAAAATGGAAAAAAGAAAATGACAATGTAAAAAATGTCAATTATGGACAAACAAAGGAGAATGCAAAATTTTGAAAGAATGTCTTTTATTGAAAACACAAATGAATAGCAATAACGTTTAACTCATGAGTCATGACAATACAAATTTGAATTTTGAGCTACTACATTATCTTTTGGGACAAAGGAATGCATCTACTTTTTTCAGATTTATCCACTTATTTTGCTGTATTCGGTATTTACGCTAAATAGATAAATAAATAAAATTACTATGTATATCTCACGCACACATATATATAATTAAATTACTATTAAATAATATATACTCTTACTTTAATTAAGTGTTAAAATCAAATAAATATCGAGGACAAATATTTATAGCTCGTTTGGCCAAGCTGCAAAAATCAGCTTATTTTGAGAAATGCTTTTTTTTTTTTTCAAAAATGTTTTTGGCGAGAAGTAGTTTGTGTTTGGCTAATTAATTTAAAAAGCACTTCTGAGCAGCAATTAGTGTTTGACCAAGTTTTTAAAAACTACTTCTAAATGTAATTTTTCTCAAAAATAATTTTAAAAAAAGTAGCTACTTTTTTTTGCTTCTCCAAAACTGCTTGTGCTTCTCCTCAAAAATACTTTTTTCTCTTCCAAAAGCTTGGTCAAATACTTTAACTTTGAAAATAAAACACTTTTTTTTAATAAAAAAAGTGCTATTAGAATTGGAGAAACTTGGCCAAACAAGCTATTATACTTGGAAGTTAGAACGATGGTCGGGTCTAGGATAATAGCATGCAATCACACTCATTATTATTTTTCTCAGGTAATGAATAAAAACATAAACATAATATATAAAGGGTAATTCGGTGCACGAATTATGTCGCGCTCACACAGAGTTCGAGAAGTACTGTGGGTGAGGTGATTAGGCAGGATATGGCGAGGTTGCAGATTTCCGAGGAAATGGCACTTGATAGAAACGTGTGGAGGTCGAGTATTAGGGTTGTAGGTTAGGAGGTAGTAGAGTCTTGTCCTATACCATAACTTTGTGAGACTAGCTTGGTAGGGATACTATTTTGCTTTTGCTTTGCTTTGTATCATTCTTCTTGATTTCATATCGTTCCTATTTGTCATATTTGTCATGTTTGTCATATGTGTTTCATATTATTTCGGTGGTGTTACTAATATTGTCGTCTATGTCTTTTTGTCTTCTTGAGCCGAGGGTCTTTCGGAAACAGACTCTCTACTCATTCGGGGTAGGGGTAAGGTCTGCGTACACACTAACCTCCCCAGACCCCGCTAGTGGGATTTCACTGGGTCGTTATTGTTGTTGTTGTCACACATAGTTCGAGAAGGACCGCACCAAGAAGGTATGATATAGACAATTTATCCTAGCTAGCATCTAATTATACTGCTCGAACCCGTAATATCATAAATAGATTATAAGTTTATATACTCCTATTCATATTCTTTTCTTTCTTTCTATTTTTTTTTCAATCGAGATTCATCATCACACTTTGACAATAATATTCCGAACCTTTACCCAGAAAAAGCAGTCATTCAACGTTCATTCATAAAATTCAGGTTTCCTCCCTTCTTAGCAGTTGAAAAGTCCAATATTACTCGCTACCCTTTTCTTCATTTAGCGTGCATGGCTTAAACGCTCAAGTCTGTTTGAGTACTAGCAGTAGTTTTTGTTGAACGAAGACTTTTTTTTTTTTTTTCATTTATGGGAGAAGAAGAAGAAACGAAATCCAAGATCTCGAACAAAGAGAGAGAACCCAGAACCAGAAATGAAGCTGCTGCTGAAAAAATGTTCAAAATGGGTTTCTTCAGATCTTGATTGGAAGTTTTTACTCTTAATTCTCCCTCCTCTCTCTCTCCTCTTTTATCTCTCTCTCTCCTCCATTCCCACCATTACCACTTCCACTTTCACCTTCAACAATCCCTTTTCCACTTTTGCCCCTTTCAAATCCGTTTTCAACAATAATGCCCCTCCTCCTCCTCCTAACTCCTTGCTGAACCGGTCTAGCTTACTCCCGCCGGTTTTTGCGAATCAATCGGAGACTCGGTCTAGAAATGATGAGCCGTTGTTTTCGCCGGTTTATAAACCGGCGACGAAGGAGGAGTTGGATCGGTCTAGAATTGCAGTGTGTTTAGTGGGTGGGGCTCGTAGGTTTGAACTAACTGGGCCTTCTATTATCCAGAAGATTCTGAAAGAATATCCGAAATCTGATCTTTATCTTCATAGCCCGTTTGATTCTAAAGCTTATAAGCTCTCCTTGTTAAAGGCTGCTCCGCGAATCTCCGCCGTTAAAATTTTCCGGCCAAAACCAATTAACATGACCGAGTCTCAGGTCCGAGTTCTCAGCCCTCGCAACTCACCAAATGGTATACAGGTAAAAAAAAACTCTCTGTTTTTTGTTTGTTTTTTATGTACGGTATTTTGTTTGTTTGTTTAGCTTAATTAGTAATTTAGCTTTAGTTTAAGAAGATTCCAATTGGAGAATGTTTTGTGGCATAAGTGTTTTGTTTTTTAGGATCGTAACAATTATAAGATATTAATGGTGTATTTGTAGTAACTTAAAAGCCAATTTTGGAAGGTTTTTAATGGTAGTTGTAGCTGGCGGCTCTTGTTAGTTAGCAGTCGACACTTGTTCTGGTATTTGGTTTCGTATACTTTGGTGAAATCTAACTCCACCGTTCTATGTTCGAGTTGAGGAGGGAAATTGCAGTAAGATCACAGTCAGTGATTTTTACTCTTCCGCCTAATTTTTTGTGGGCAGGGTTACAACTCATGCAGATTTGCTGGTGGGAGATAGTAAGTACGTGGTCGAGAAAAGTCTAATTTTGATGAATCCTCATAATACTTTGAGAAAGTAGAGTGAGTTTGTCAATTTATATAGCTAAGACTAACTAGTTTGGAATTGAGTTAACTGATGAAATATTCACAGAGTGATGAATCTGGCACCTAAACAAATGTTGATTCTATAAAGTGAAGAGAGGTTAGGGACGACGTATAATACTGAAGGTAGGTAAAATGTAGGCAAAATTTGGTTTGGATGGTGTGGCATCTCAGGTGCAAATTGTTATAGGTTTACCTTCTGAGCTTCTTCACCAATTCTGTGGGCTCTAGCCTGAAACCATCCAAGGTTTGTTGGGAAGAAATAAGAAAATGTTGAGGATTTGAGGACACGTAATCCCTGTGTTAGTTACTTGAGAAGGGGAACTGTTAATTGAAAAATGAAAGTATTCACTAGGAACACCATTGAATGGTTCACCATTTCATTAGATTTTGCAATCGAATAGTCCTTTGTCGGATTAATGATGGTTGAATATTAGTGTTAAGTGCACTTGAAAAGTAGGTTTTATCTTAAATATGGTGTTTATTAGTCTGACATGTGAGCATGTTAAATTTATGGTAGTATAGCTTTACCTAATTCGAGCGCAACTAGTACTGCTCTAGTTCAATCTTTACCTAATTCGGAGCAGTGCTACTGCCTGCGCTGGTTGGACTTAAATTGCTATTGTAGTATTGGGTATCTTTCTTACCATTTTATATGATAGATCACTGGTTCATTGTTTAGTTGTACCTCATGAGATACTACTATAGAACCTTGCTTCTTAGCGTTCATTAGCACTTAGCTCATTGTTGTAGAGGCGAATCTTAGAGTTCGTTAGCACTTAGCTCATAGTTGCAGAGGCAAATTCAAGGTTAGTTTTTACATACATAAGTTGTCCACTACTAATGCTATATCTACATCTGCTTAATTGAAAAATAAGAAGCATTTATAGCCATATTCCCTAGGCTTGAATGTTAATAAGCTACACAGGCTTTTTCTAATTCCCAAAACTCCAATTTTTTTTACTGTTTTGTATTGCAGGGTCTGCTGCAATATTTCAACCTAGTAGAGGGCTGCTTAACGATGATTCAAGCACATCAACGCCGGAACAACTTCACTTATGACTGGATAATCCGTACTCGAGTTGATGGCTACTGGAACGCCCCACTATCTCCCGACGACTTCATTCCAGGTGCCTACCTAGTTCCTCCAGGTTCATCCTACGGTGGCTTAAATGATCGCTTTGGCCTCGGTGACTACAACACGTCTGTAGTTGCTCTTTCGAGGCTCTCTTTGATTCCTGAGCTGGATTCAGCTGGATACCATCTCCTCAACTCAGAGGGCGCATTCAAGGCCCAACTGACTATCCACAAAGTTCCCTACATCACTAAGCGCCTCCCATTCTGCGTTGTATCGGATCGTAGCTATGATTTTCCACCACCCCGTTTTGGTGTTCCAGTAGCAGCACTTTCTAGTCCAGGCCCATTAAGTGGTGCCAAGTGCCGGCCTTGCACACCTTCATGCACTGACCACTGCGTTGGGCTGGTAATGAACAGACTGTACAAAGGATGGAGCTGGACCGATTGGGCCAATAACACCCTTCTGCTCTGTGATGCTCATGCCGAGTGGGAGAGCGGGTGGCAGAAATTATTCGATGAAGTGGCAGGTGATAAACTGGCTGCAGCGAGAAGGCGAGTTGAAGATTTAAGAATGGAGCAATGTGTGAGGGATTTTGCAGAAATGAAGAAGAAGACAGCTTATTGGGAGGCTCCTCCAGTGTCTCAAATTTGTCAATTGGGCTTATCAGCATCTGCTTAACTTCAAAGCAAAATCCAATATAGTATAGGTAAACTATGTATAGTTTCTAGCCTTCCACGCAGCTTTTTTCTATATTTCAATTCTTTATTCCTTTTTCCTTCTTCGGGAAAAAAAACAACGTACCCAATATAATACCGCATAATGGGGTTTGGGGTACGCAGACCTTACCCCTACCTTGCGAAGATAGAGATGTTGTTTTCAATAGAACCTCGACTCAGGAAAGCTCGGGAAAACAAAAAAGAGTTCTAGAAATACCTAGGTGTTTTTGTAGACATGTTTTTTGGAATATTTCAACGGATATTACTAGTGCTTAGCTTTGTAGAGAAAGGATTGCAGAGAAAAGGTAACAGGTTCCAGTTTTGGTATCTTAGTTGTTGTTATTCTAAGTTGTGTGTGATGGTACAAATGTTTATCTAAAACAAGCAGTGCTTCGTAAATGATCTTTACTACCAGTTAGATGAGCTAGAAATGGCAAATAGCATAATACATGTTATGAGATCTTTTTGATTGCCTCGGTATGGAGACAACTTTGAATTCTTAACCTATTATTGAAACCAATTAGAAGATGAAACATGTAGTTTGAAAACAATGAGGAGTCTAATTCAAAGATTGAACGTATTTGGGGACATGCATGTTAACGAACGTCAACGTTGTTTGCCATGTCAATCGGTTCAAGCCACTGAGCTACTAAATTCATAATTTGTTTTGGGCCTCGAATCCAGAAGCTTGTAGTTGATCTTGGTCCAACCATTTAAAGTAAAAATTGAACGGGCGCCCAAAATAGGGCGCTCCTATTTAACTTATACTTATATTTTTTAAATTATTTAACGTATACCCTAATTTTTACAACTTCAGGCGCCTCCTTCTTCCTGCTACCTGTGCGCTCCTTTCTTCCTCCTTTCTTTTCCTCCTCTTCTTCTTCTTCTTTTCTCTCTCAAACACATGAGACTCTGTGTAAGTATTATTAATTGAATATGAACTACACAGTGATTTAGCACTAAGGTATGAATTTTGCGTTAAGTACATCTGAAATTTTATTCCCCCAAAAAAGAATTAAAGATGGTTCTTCTTAATGCTGAATTTCCTGATAATTCCATTATAGCAACTGGATCTTAATGACAACTTGTCATTGTTGTTTTAGAACTTCAGCTCTAAGAATGCTGAAGTTCAGCAAATATAAACAAAAACTTCAACTCCTAGAATGGTGAAGTTCAACAAATACAAAACAAACTTCAGCCCTGAAGTTCATCACAAACATAACAAAGCTTCAGCTAAAACATGCTGAAGTTCAGCAAATATAGAACAAAACTTCAGCTAAAACATGCTGAAGTTCAGCAAATAGAGAACAAAATTTCAGCTAGTAGAATGCTTAAGTTCAGCAATTACAAACAAAAACTTCAGCCAACACTTGGTTCAGTAATTTTTGCTACTTCAGGCCCGTCTACTAGAATGCTAAAGTTTGCGTGATTGCCTTTGCTACTTCAGGCCCGTATGCCTGAAGTTACGCGAAAAACTTCAACTAAAACATGCTGAAGTTCAGCAAATAGAGAACAAAACTTCCGCTACTAGAATGCTTAAGTTCAGCAATTACAAACAAAAACTTTAGCCAACACTTGGTTCAACAATTTTTGCTACTTCAGGCCCGTCTACTAGAATGCTGAAGTTTGCGTGATTGCCTTTGCTACTTCAGGCCCGTATGCCTGAAGTTACGCGAAAAGTGGGTACGTTTGCAATTTTTTTTTGCAAAGCGGGTATAAGTTAAAACGTGACCCAAAAAGCAGGTATAGATGCAAATGCCCCCCATTTAAATGCCCTGTAAGGATTGTTTTCAAAAATTGCACCGGCGCCCTATTTGGCAGCCCTTATTTAACCTGTACCCACTTTTTATTTTTATTTTTAACTTGTACCCACTTTTTAAACAACTTCATGCCTTTTTCTCATCTTTCTTCTTCTTCTTCGGGTGACAGTGATTTTGTATGGTGTTTGTGAACATATTTTAAGGATAAAAGAAACTGGAAAACAGTAAAGAATTAGAAATATTCCGAGTCCACAGTTTGCTTGTGCGTCCTTAAGGAATTTTAACCCCCTCACACGTTGCCAAGGTAATGGATTAAATCCTCCCAGGATGAAACAGAATAAACCTTCCTGCAACAGTGGCAATACAAACTGCAGGATACCAACAAACTCAAAAAATGGAGCAAAATCACACTTACGAATTTGAGAGAGAGAGAGACTGCGAATTAGAATGCAGTATTTTCAGAAAGAAGGAAGTTTTGTAATTTTTCAGTGTGTTAAAAACGAAGCCATGCCTCAGAATTTATAGGCAATTATTGGAAGAGGTGTGATGTTTGTTCTGGAAAAGGTGTCTGTTCAGAAGTTTGCGCGTCCTGCCGCGGTTACGCCAGGACCGCGGCCAGAGTGGCCTTCTGAATCTGCAGCAGTGTTCTGGCGCGGTCCTACCGCGGTCACGCCCGGACAGCGGCTAACTAACTGACATTTAATTATTTATTAAATAATTAATTAAATAAATTTTGTCCAAAATTAATCTTATCGATCTATCATTTGACAAATCCAAATCCAAATCCAAAGCCGAAGCCGAAGCCGAGCCGAGCTAGCGACGACGACGGCGCGAGGTTCATTCTCTTCAACTCCTTTTAAGAGCTTTAAGAAGTGATTCTATATATATACACACAAATGTAGTTGTCCCTTACCAATGAGGGACAAAGTTCAAGACAAAAGCTCACTTCATTCAAATTTTCATTTTCCTCCATTTTATTTCCCACCATTTCCAATTCACACTCTTAGACTTTAAAGCCCAATGCTTAAAGTCTTTGAAGCCCAATGCTTTAAAGTCCAACAATCCCCCACATGAATGGGAATGGCTGTAACAAGAATGATCATAGATGAAAGCTGTGTGATTTGCAAGTAAGGATTAATTGCATCTGGATAAGTAGGTTTCCCTTTGAACTTTCCGTAGTGAACATATGTCGGATATACTCGGTCAATCGGTAGATTTGATATCTTTGAACCGTCGAACTTTAGTGTATACCTAGACAACCATATGTCACCCAACCAATCCTTAACCGTCCTTTGGTTCTCATTGTTGTGTTCGTTTCAGCCATGAACACCGCCTGGTTTCATAAGTGCATAGAGAATTGGCCTTACAGAATTCTCATTGAAGCGGCTTCCACTTCACACTTACATAGGTGATTCCTAAACGTGTAATCCTTTAGATTGACACTATTTGATAAATACCACATCAAACTTAGGTAATCATTAAAGAACGTGTAAAGTTCTATCCTTGTTACTGAACATTGTCTTCATCACGAGAAGGGACCAAAGATTTTACTTTGACAATGTTGAACCGGTCAATCATAACTTTGTTTGAGCTCCTTGAACCTAGATCTCGGAACATCCAAAATTCTAGGTAGAGTTACCGCCATGTTGACTTGTCCTCGGCCATAGTCCCATTCCCTTAGATGATTTCCCAACTCCCTCTCTAGTTAAGCCTTTTGTAAGCGGATCCGCCATATTATCCTTTGATCTTACATAATCAATAGTGATAATTCCACTAGAAAGTAGTTGTCTAACGGTGTTATGTCTTCGTCGTATATGACGAGACTTTCCGTTATACATAACGCTCCCTGCCCGTCCTGTTGCAGCCTCACTATCGCAATGTATGCAAATAGGAGCCAAAGGTTTTGGCCAGAACGGAATGTCTTCTAAGAAATTTCGAAGCCATTCAGCTTCTTCACCGGCTTTATCCAAAGCTATAAACTCTGATTCCATTGTAGAGCGAGCGATGCACGTTTGTTTGGAAGACTTCCAAGATACTGCTCCTCCACCAACAGTAAAAACATATCCACTTGTGGACTTTGTTTCTGTTGAGCCGGTTATCCAATTTGCATCACTATATCCTTCGATAACCGCAGGATATTTATTGTAGTGCAAAGCGTAGTCTTGGGTATATTCCAAATATCCCAGAACTCGTTTCATTGCTACCCAGTGATGTTTGTTTGGATTACTTGTGAATCGACTAAGTTTACTTATTGCACAAGCTATATCAGGTCGTGTACAATTCATGATGTACATTAAGCTTCCCAACACACGAGCATACTCCAATTGAGACGTACTTTCACCTTTATTCTTTATAAGATGATGATTTAAGTCAATTGGAGTTCTTGCACTTCTAAATTCCAAGTGTTTGAATTTTTCAAGTACCATTTTCACGTAATGTGATTGAGACAAAGCTAGACCCTGAGGAGTCCTCTGGATTTTAATTCCTAGAATTACATCGGCAACTCCTAAGTCTTTCATATCAAACTTACTAGCAAGCATACACTTAATAACTTGAATGTCGGCAATGTCTTTTCTCATTATTAGCATATCATCAACATATAAGCAAACAATGACTATATTATTTGGAATGTTCTTAATGTAAACACATTTATCACATTCATTAATCTTAAAGCCATTTGACAATATTGTTTGGTCAAATTTCGCATGCCATTGCTTGGGTGCTTGTTTTAGTCCATAAAGGGACTTAACAAGTCGACACACCTTCTTTTCTTTTCCCGGAACCACAAACCCTTCAGGTTGGTCCATGTAAATTTCTTCCTCTAGATCACCATTTAAGAAGGCTGTTTTTACATCCATTTGATGGATTTGAAGACCATACAAGGCGGCTAATGCTATTAGCATCCGAATGGATGTAATTCTTGTTACCGGCGAGTATGTGTCAAAATAGTCAAGACCTTCTCGCTGTCTAAATCCTTTGACAACAAGTCTTGCCTTGTATTTGTCAATAGTACCATCGTCTTTCATTTTCTTCTTGAAAATCCATTTAGAACCCAATGTTTTGTTACCTGGAGGAAGATCAACCAATTCCCAGGTATGGTTGCTCAATATGGATTCTATTTCACTATTGATAGCTTCTTTCCAATATTGTGCTTCTGAGGAAGACATTGCTTCCTTGAAGGTACGAGGCTCATTTTCTAGCAAGAAAGTCATAAAATCTGGACCGAATGAAGTAGATGTCCGTTGATGTTTACTTCTTCTCGGATTTTCCTCATTAAGCATACCATCTGTTATTTCCTCCCGAGGTCGTTTTGACTTTTGGTAGGTCACTTCACTCTCCTTTTTATACGGATAAATAGTTTAAAAGAATTCAACATTATCTGATTCTATTATCGTATTAACATGAATCTCAGGATTTTCTGATTTATGAACCAGAAAAATGATATGCCTTGCTATTGGTTACATATCCAATAAATACACAATCAACCGTTTTTGGACATATCTTAACCCTTTTAGGTTTAGGAACTTGTACCTTAGCTGAACACCCCCACACTTTAAAGTATTTCAA